CCATCCCCATATTTTTAAGATTTCTTTACTATGATAAGTTTATTATTTAATGCCAGGCCAAGGTATTTAGTTTTCTGCACCACTTTAACAGTTTGTTTGAAGATTTCTACGATTTTAGTGAATTTTGCACTAATTCTTGAAATCTTTATTACTGATAAATCGCTCTTACCAGCATTTATGGCGACGATGATTTTGTGGACATAGTCTTGAGATTGCAATACCAGGGGTTTAAGATTTTTGGGCAACTGCCGTACTTTTGCAACTGAAATCGTAGATCAGAAATCAGTTTTCCCGGATATAGTGAACGAAATGTTTGGTCCCGTGCCTTGCTATACACGTATAATGTTATTTTTTGTGGATATAGTGAACTAAAAAAGTTAGGAAGTTGGATATAATGAACTTTTTTCTGCCTTCGACTGAATTTTTTCTGCATTTTTTAAAATTAATTTTGAAATGTCTACTTCAAAATAAATACTTATACTGATTTTTAAGACCATCCATGAGAGTGGAATGTAGCGATAAGCATTTTTTCTTGTTTGCTTCTTTTATCTCACTTTTCCATCCGTAAACAAAGGCCGACCCAGGCAGATGTATGGACAAATTTTTCCCTGCATCAGCTAAAGATCACTAACTTTTTTTGTACGCAAAACGAAGAGTAATAAAAATAAAAGCAAGTTAACACATTTTTTGTTACTACGTATTATTTTTCAGTCATTTTTGTATTTCATTTGAATGGTCATTTATTTAAATAATGTTCGGAAGCATTAGTTAAAATTGTTTGAGGAACGGATATAGTGAACTCCCGGTTATAGTGAACAGAAATTTCTGTCCCTTGAAGGTTCACTATAGCGGGGTTTGACTGTATTTGTATTTAGAGAGCTCTTTTTAACGATACCACCTCAAGGGCAATCAGAATGCACTAAAGACGATCTTTTAGAGAGTTGAAAGTTAAATCATAAAATAAACCCATCTTAAACATATCTCTTTTCATCTTTTGTAACGAACTAATTATTTTTACCATATAAAATTAAATACAAACTTATAATTATTTATTTATTTAAAATAGATTTATCATTTATAGCTGGTAAATTTGTTTTTACACGTGATTGTATCAGTTGGGATCATATCTTTATTCATATATCCGTCTTTTCATGACGAGAACAGAAGTGGCATTTCAGCACCAAGAAAATGACAATTTTGAAATCAATGGAGGTAAGCTCTAAGAAGTAAGAACGTCCATTTTAATGAGGAAGGAAGAGTGGTCGTAATTTAGCAGCGAGCACTGTACGTCTATTCTGAGAACTATAGCTACATCCGATACTTTAAGAAGAATGTTGTTGTTGTTGTTCATTTACGTCGCACTAGAGCTGCACCATGGGCTATTGGCGACGGTCTGGAAAATATCCCTGAGGATGATCCGAAGACATGCCATCACAATTTTGATCCTCTGTGGAGGGGATGGCACCCCCGCTTCGGTAGCCCGACGACCTGCGCGCGAAGTCGAGCACTTTACGGTAGCACAGTTTAACGAGGACCCATATCGCACACCCTCGGTCCCTACGCAGACTGATCCAAGTGGTCACCCACCCGCACACTGACCGCAGCCAGTGATGCTTGACTTCGGTGATCTGCTGGGAACCGTGTCTTAACGATCAGACCACTGCGGGACTTAAGAAGAATCAGATGCAGCTGTTAGTAAAGTAGTGTTGAGAATAATGTTGATAGATTTCATAAAATTAGTAATTTCATTAAAAATGTTCAGAAAATCTGTCTGGTAGCAAAATTTTTCTTAAATTTTATTTTTAAATTTTTGTATTTTTTTTTTCGATTAAAATTTTGAAATTAATTTTCAATATGATTGATTCAAAAGGCGATAAATTATGCCTTATTTTAAAAATAAATAAAAGCCATAATTTATTCCCATATAACATATCCACTAAGATAGCATTTGAAGAAGTGGATTCTTAAGACAGGTTCTCGTAGAAAGTCAGCAGCATCTGTCCGCCCATTCCTGATAGGCTAGTTTGAGAACTGGTCAACATACATCACTACCACTCGAATCAGTTTGCTTTAGACATCCAAATGAGCTGGGAGTTATAATGGCGAAAATATACACACACACAAAAATCATCAAATGAGAGAAATAGATTTAGAATGAGCTAGTATATTTCTTTATTATAGAAATTTGTGTACTTATAGTGCTCTTATGACTAAATATGCAAAAATTAAGCATTCATTAAAATTTTATTCGTGGAATTGGAAGTTCACAAATCGATCAGCTCCAGTGATTTCAAGTTGAAAGAACCATTTTATTGCTTTATTTGATTCTTCGCATTTTTCTCAACTATATATTTAAGCTAAAACTACAAAAAAAATTGCTTTGAAATTATTGATACAGATTTTGTGATACAATACAGATATAAAGCTATGTTTACGAAGGTAAAATATCAACTGCTGAAAGTATCTCAACGTATAAAAAATTGATTGTAAATAAACAATGAAGACGTAATGCTATAGTTAAAACTGTAGAGCTCTTTGCCCACATTAAAAAGAATAAGAATTTTCTTAGTAAAACTGTTAAAATTATCACTTGATTTTAGATGTGAAAGACTGTTTCATTATCTATATTTATTTCTTATATTTACTTGCTAAAAATGACGGGTTTGATTTCAAAAATAATAAGTCAACAGTTTGCATGGCTGAAAACGCAAACTATAATATAAAGGAAATGAGAATTTAAATGAGTTGTTTTCATAAGAAAATCCACAGTGCCACGTGGAAAAGAATTATCTGAGGTAGAAGATCGGAAAATCTGGTTCCTTAAAAGCTCTGGAAAAGCACGGATCCTGAATAGTGTCAGTTAATTAAATCCTCTAAAACTGCTGTTCATAATGTTTTTAAGCAAAAGAGATAAAATTAAAAATATAAAAAATCCGATAATATAAGATCAGGCAGAAGGCGTAAACTATCAGCTCGGGATAATAAATGCGTTTTCAAACTTGCAGCGAAATAGAACTTGTCGACTCGCAAAATAACCCAGCTTAAAACTAGAACTCCATGTGACAGTTCGCTATAAATAGAATTGAGTTATTATTTTGATATCCAGAATATATTATTGATTTATTAAAATAAGAAACACTTTTAATATCAAATAATCCCTAGAAACTGAAACTGAGAGGTATGATAGTTACTGTAAACACATCATAAATGGAAAAAAAATTTGAGAAAGTCGATTTGTTTCAAGCTCTCAAAAACAGGCGCCCATTCTTAAGATCCATCAGACATGAACTAAGGAAAAAAAATTGTAAAAGAAAACTCAAAGTAGGAAAAACGTTAGTAGATATTGCTAATCTACAATCTAAAGTAGATTAATAATATTTACGAATCTACTATCTCAAAGAAATTAGTACTAGATAGGATTCAATATCTCTCTGAATTAATTATAATAATTAATAACAATATTACTGTATCAACGCATTATATAAATAATATGATATAGGCCAAGATAGGATTCAACATCTCTCTGAATTAATTATAATAATTAATAGCAATATTACTATATCAACGCATTATATAAATAATATGATATAGGCCAAGATAGATTCGATATCTCTCTGAATTAATTATAATAATTAATATCAATATTGCTATATCAACGCATTATATAAATAATATGATATAGGCCAAGATAGGATTCAATATCTCTCTGAATTAATTATAATAATTAATAACAATATTACTATATCAACGCATTATATAAATTCATGTTATATTTTATTTATAATATATTTATATTAATTAATAAGAGGAGCACTGCAGTAAAATTATTATTTGACTAATAATAATACTTTATTAATAAGAAAAGCATTGATATTGTGATCACAACAGCATCACATCGATTTAATTTGGAGACAAAGGAGTTATTTTATTTTATTTCATAACCGTCATTGATCATGATTGTGAATGTTCATCTCCGTAGCCTTGTAATTTTGAACACAATCCAGAAGTGAGCCCAATCGGATCCGGACAATAATTATAAAGCAATCAATTGCGATGCCGCTAACTTCATGTACATCTTCAAATTGGAACTTTTAAAGATGTCTCAAGACTCCTATTAGCCTACATTTACACTAGTGGTATTACCAGGGCTCGAAAAACAGCCCGTCCGCCCGTCCTCGGCGGTCAAAGATTCCCTGCGGACAACAAGTTTCTCGAATCCAACGTCCGCGCGGACGGCCCTTTTTCCCCATTAATGTTCGTGATCTATTTTCAATTTTTGTTATCTTACATGAGCCTAGAACCTCACTTCTAAAATGACCCTCTAATCTAGAAATACGGCAACATACTGCTCNAGCCTTGTAATTTTGAACACAATCCAGAAGTGAGCCCAATCCGATCCGGACAGTAATTATAAAGCAATCTATTGCGATGCCGCTAACTTCATCTACATCTTCAAATTGGAACTTTTGAAGATGTCTCAAGATTCCCATTAGCTTACATTTACACCAGTGGTATTACCCTATCTAGCTTGTTAATGATGCGAATACTTGTGTATTGATTTAATCCTCACTCCTCTGGACAATGTGCCCTTTCATTTTCTGTTCCATATGCATTCCAATCCACCTCTCACCTTCACGCATTGCATGGGAAAAGGATCCAGGCATGGCTTCAGATGCCCAGTTAAATTTGTAAGACAATATAATGTATTGAATCCTATGTATTGCAGAGATAGAAACCAAGTCCATAGGACCGATAGTTCTGACATTCTGAGAACTTAGAATTTATTTTTTATTTTTCAAGGATAGTTTCAATTATTTAATTTTTTAATCATTATTTCAAAGTATTGTATGGGAGTTTTCACTTCCACATGTAATAAAAGCCTTATAGTTTAAAAAATATTAGTTTTATCGACTTATATTCAATTCACTCGATTTTTAATTTAACTTAAACATAAGACGTCGTTTATCAATAAAGCGATTTCAAAATTATAAATAAGTAAAAGCACTAAACAACTCTTTTATGCGTAAAACATTCATACAAAACTATACTCTTATACATAAATCGTTTTTTTTATATATATTCGACTGTTATTTCTAGCTTTGTCTTAATCTCTATTAAGAATTAAAAAAACACATATTGAATAATGTGCCTCTAGTCCATATGGGTATTTAAGAAGCAAATATGTCTGGGGAGTGTTTTTCGTGGCATTCTTTAGGTGCACTCATCATTGTGGAAGGCTAGATGTCTCAACAGAAGTGCGCATCTGTCCGTGCAGGTCAAGTCCAATCTTACATACGAATTGTTTTTCCTCAGGATGATAGCATCTACCAGCAGAATAATGCGAATCCTCATACAGCTCACTGTGTAGGTAAGCAGTTCGAAGGGGATCTAACTCCTGGGGTTTAAACTTAATTGAGAATCTCGTGGACTACCTTGATCAAGTTGATCATTCCATGAATAGTCAACCACGTAGCCTAATGCAGCTGGATATAGCACTGGAGTCAGAATCACTTCTTCATCTCAGTCCTTCACCTTCAAGACCTTCATCCATATAAGAACCTAATTAATTCTCTTTTCACATGTTTCGTAGTGGTCTGTTTAGAGAAAGGTGGTGTTATTTAGACTTTTGACTGGTGGTCACATTGATGGGACTGAACTTTGTATAACCAAGCGGATTATACACTCTATGTTTCTCTTCTCACTCAAAGTGGTTCTTCTTTTTTAATCGCTTTTCTGCAACCAACTCATATTCACTCTCACTGATTCTGATTTCCGAATCTGTTTCAAACAATGATTCGTTTGTTTTCTGCTTTTCAAAACTTTGAGCTGAGTCTTCCCAACATCTGAGATTGATTCAGCCAATTTTCATTAATTGTGTAGCTGAAGAAACGAAGCGATGCAGTTATTCATTATTAACCAGACGGATAACTAAATAATCTGCATATTAAATTTTTTCAAAGTTTCTGCTCGAATGTTGCTCTTAATTTCACATTTTCTACATAAAAACTTTTTTATGTTTCTGCTCGAATGTTGCAGCTTAATTCTATATTGTCACATAAAAACGTTTTTCGAAGTTTTTGTTCAAATGTTGCTTCTTAATCCCACATTTTCTACATAAGATCTTTTGTTTGAATTTTGCATTTAAATTCTATATTATCTACCAAACAACTTTTTTGAGGTTTCTGTTTGATTGTTTCCTCTCAATTCTACATTTTCCACGCAAAAACGTTTTTGATGTTTCAGCTCGAATGTTGCATCTTAATTCTGCATTGTCCTGTTAAAACTTTTTTTCGAAGTTTCTGTTTGAATTTTGCATCTTAATGCTACGTTATCTACAGAAAAACTGTTTTTGAAGTTTCTGTTCAAAGTTTGAATTTAAATTCTGTTAATATGAAGATGCTAAGACTGTATTTAATGCCGAAAACAGCTCTTGTGTGTCCGAAAAATGTATGCGTTTTCTCTCATATTATTTTTCATCTCACATTGAAATAAATAAATTAATTAATTGAAGAGGTAATTGAATGAGCCTGTTTATTTACCACTATACGCTACTCAAAGTCAAACAATGTTATAAACCAAGACTGATTAAAATCTTACCGAGTAGTTAAAAAGATCTCTTAAAAAATCTCTTAAGCGAAACCCCAACCATATATTGATTCGGAGAAAATTTAGATGAGCTGCTCCAGGAAGTAGTCTTCATTATGATTGATCAAATCGTATACACAAACTAACTCAGAGGATTTTAAATGTCCCGAGAATTCTTCCGGTAAAACTTCGGGCGGGAAATGAGAGTGCAGAGACGTCCAATTATCTTCGCAGGAGTGAATAAAGACCTACAGAAATATAAAATTGCTTGATTAATGAAATCGATTGTTCAGTATCATATTCAATTTATTTAACAAGTAAGCAAATGAGTCGCGAGACCAGACGCAGAGTGTGCCAAAAAGAAACGGGCCAACCTGAATAGCTTTTGAACTGATGATCGAATCTCCGCCTTCTAGGAATCTTAATGGCTCGAGAAGGTGACTTCAAATATGGTGATTGATTAGTGTTGTAGACGATACTTTAAGTTACGAAATCAGACTCAAAAAGGTACTTTCTCTGAATAAACACACCTCTTTTCGTTGGATCTAGATTTCTGACCCCCGAAATATAGTGGGGTGTAACGTATCAAGCTATATTAAGAAACAGTTCCTCGTTTTATAAAAAAAAAAAGAAAAAAAAGACACCTTTATTTCACAACAACAAATACAGTAACAAGATTAAAGTACCAGTAACGGCTTAGTAATAATCTTGCGAAAAAATGTAGAAAAACCCGTAACAGGTTAGTATAAACGTTAAATTTAAGAACAAAAACTATCTTCTAAAAAATCAACAGCTATCTGTTGTTCCATCAAATCTCGTGCTTTTAATTTCAATTTATCTCGTTATAAGTTTTGTTTCTTTTATTCATGCTTTTTCTTGAGCCGATATTTCTTAAAAATATTTTTAGACATAATAGGGGTGACCGCAATCTGGGAAATATGATTCAATAGCTTGGTCAGGAGAGTGGTCCAAAGTTTGGACCCCTTAATATTAATTTTACTTTTTCGTATTTCGCTACATCTCGAGAAGTTTTTAAAATAATTAAATGCTTTTTACTTTCAATTATAAGATACATTTATCCAAAGATAATTTTATGCAAAGATAATTTTCAGCTGATAATTATTTTACATAATATTGATCGAAAAAAAATTTCAAGGTAAAGAATTTTTTACATCATTTTAAAAAACATAATTTTACATGGTGAAATAAAAAAAAAAATTGGAGTGAAATCGGTCGAATAGTTTCTGAGAAATTGAATTTCCAAAAAAATCGTATTTCAAATACTTGATTTCTCAGGAACTACTCAAATTTGTAGTTTACCATTGTTTTTTCTATTCTTTAAAATGATGTAAAAAATCGTATGCCTTTGAATTGAAAATTTTTTAATATTGTGCAAAATAATAAAAAAAGAATAAATATTTATGAAAAGTTTTGGTTTTTGCATAGATTTACTTATTTTCGAATAATTGAATTTTATAATTGTGAGCAAGAAGTTTTGAATTCTCCTAAAAAGTTCTCTAGATATAGCGTAATACGCGAAAGGTAAAATTGGCATACCAAACTTTGGACGGCTCTCCTGACCAAACTATAGGGATTCCCCAGATTGCGACTATCCTTTATTTTGGGAGTCAGAAATCCAAATCTGTGTCAAAACAGGTATGTTTATTCAGTATGTTTTGTAGGTATGTAATTTGTTATTACAAGTGCGTTTTTGCGCCAGACTTCGTAACTTAAAATATCGTTTGCACTAATTAATTAGCATATTTAGGGTTACTCCTTCGAATTATTAAGACTGAGTTCTAGAACGTGAAGAACCCATCATTAAAACAAAAGTTACTGCGGGGTGGTCTGTTTTTTATTTTGCGCATTGTCCGTCAGCAGTAAAATTCTTTTGAATTTATGTTAAAAAAAATTTAAAATATTGGAATACAAATGCAATAAATAGACAAGGTTAATATTTCTTTAGGAACTACTCGGTTATTGATTAGAGTTTCCAGGCAGTTCATGAAACGATGAAAACACAAAAGTAAAAAGCTAACAAAAAGTCAACTAGCAGACGTTTTTAGAGCACCTTTTTGAAACTAACTAAAAAAAAAAAATTCAATTAAGGAGAATGTTCACACACACCGTTGAAACTAATACGTTCAACTGCATTGCAAATAATACCCATATTTTTCGGATCTTTCTCCCCATATTTAACGGCTTATAGCTGTTTTGTTGAAAAAATGCTTTAAATTTTTTTTCATACTAATCATTAACGGCTTAATACCGTCAATTTAAATTCTAGTTTATGCTATACAGTTTTGCTTACTGTGTGATAATTTTATCTTTTCTCAAATAATTTACGATAATTTTATATACTTGCATGACACTACAGTTTTGAAATATTTGTACTTAAATATGATTTCGATACATAAGATTTTTATGGTAAAGGCAATTTCAGACTTTTTTTCATAGTAAAACATTAGAGCCACGGTGGCTCAAGGTGACAGAGTGCTCGCCTCTCACTGCGGTGCCCCAGGTTTGAATCCCAGCTATGATAGGTAGCTACGAATTCTGCTCTCGGCATAAGTAAGCCACACTGCAGTGGCATAAATACAATTTTACTTCGTAATTTTCACTGAGGAAACTTGTCCCTATATAGTAAAAATATGCTATAATTACAATTATTTTTTCCTTAATTTTAACAGAGAAAACTTGTATTTTAAGTAATAGTTCTAACAACGAAAATACTTTTCTACTTTTACGGAAAAAAGCATGTTTTTGTACGGTAAAAATATTTGAGACTACGGTTTTACACCGTAAGTTTTACGGTTTCTCACAACAAACCTGCTGTTTAGAAATGTAAATATTATGGGATTTTTTACAGTATATTTTATTTCATAGATTTGACTTTCTTTGATTATTGGACAGCGATCGTTAATTTTACTGAAATGTTTTAACTGTACAACGTATTTTTTTTTAAATAAAAAAAGGTTTGATTAAAAGTATAAAATTGCACTCCTTTAAGTGCATTCTTAGATTTTTTGGAATATCTGTTAAAAATTAATTAAAAAATGGGGAGTTGATGCTTAAACAATGAAAAAACAATGTGTTAAGTTCCGCGACATGGAGCTTTTGGAGCCCTTTTCAAATTCCTTTAATTTTTAAAAAGTATTTGACAACTGACTTTTCTAACTATCCAACTTATTTCCTAATGATGTCATTATTCTTTATTTAATAGTTCTTCTTTTAGCAATCTATATCTATATCTATATATATATATATATATTTCTCTTACACGGCGACAAAAAAAAGCTTCATTACTACTCTCCGATTGGCAACGCTAGAAAATCGACCAATGATTGCCGCTAAAAATATCACATGCCAAATCTAGTTGAGGTGGCTCAACATATAGCGTTTTTAAGAACGAAAACTGAAATAACCAGAGAGAGCATTCTCACCAAATGTGAAGGTTTAACGAATTACATGTCATTTATTTGAATTCAAATTTATCTTAATGACTTAGTATTTACTAAAAAGAAGATGTAATTTAAAAAAAAAAAAAGTTGTTATATGGATTTGAATGATTGTTTTAAATTCTTAGAATTTTGTGCATTTGCAATGTACCTAAGTTAGTAACGAGCGAAGCGAGCTTGGTTTGCTTCGCAAACCATATAAGATTGCGTGGCAATTTTCGGGGGTTGGCGAGCGTTAGCAAGCAGGGGGCGCAGCCCACTAGTATTTTAAATAATTCTATCAGAAAAATAAAAATACAACAATAAAAGTTAAAATCTCAACGAATAATGAAATACAATTCCCGAGTTTTAGAAATGTAAATAAATTTTTTATAGGATTTGCTTCTGTCACGTTGCTTAAAATGCACCAAATCAGATTCCTAATTTTAATATGGATATTTCATATGAATTTTTATTTCGATGAAAAAAGTATAACGAATAATATAGTCCATGCGGCGGTGATAAATATTTTGTTCAAATAATTTACAAAAATTTTACAAAATATTTTACTTCAACACAATTTCTTTTCTTACACCAAAACAGAAGGATAGCATATCTCAACTCTTCCCTTTAAATTAAAACTGATTAAACTTTTCTGCCAGTTTTCGAACGGCTGTGTTTAAATACTTTGGAACGAACTCTGAAAACTCCAAGTCAGGGAACTTATCTATTATAAGAGTATACATGTAAGTATATGTTCAATCATGGTAAAAATATTATTAATTGCGGTGTAAAATTTTGTTTCTAATAATCGACTGTTACATATTCTATGCTAATTTTTTTCGCATTTGATAATTTATTTGTAGTACTTCATCTGCATACTTTTATAATATTTTTCTTAAAATCTATTCAGTTGAAGAACAAAATTCACTTAAGCATTTTCAATATTAGTGAATTTTTGGCACCCTTTTTTTAAAAAAAAATTAAGTCTTGTGTCTGGGCTGTTAGATATTATTCAAATATCAATTTCATAAAAAAATTACACAATTTGTATACTTACCCTGTTTTTCATTTTCCGACTCATGATGCGACTCTTCAAAATGTCAAAGAAAGAGTGAGCTATTCCAGGAGCATTAACGATGTGCACATTTACTATACGCAGCGTGTTAAAACTCTAAAAAAAAAAGAAACAAAATTAAAACAGACTTTGAAATTGTCAAAGGACTTACATTTAAATTAATACTTTAATGGGCCATTTATTTCCATTAAATGTAAATTAAAGTGCTTTTGGAATTGAAATTGTTATAAGAATAGTAATTGATATAAGAAGAAAAAAAATCATTTAGTTTATAAAAATGTCATTTTTTTGGTAAGTATATTTAACACGACCTATTAGGAACTTACAGACTTTTTTTTTTTATAAAATAAATTTCATAAATGCTACAATCTTCAAAAGGAATTATGTATTTTATAATTTTTGTTCGTTTTCTTAAACTAACAATAGTTGCCAATTTTATTTCAATGTACTTTAAGAAAGCTAAAGTTAATAACAAATAGAAACCTAAATAAAAAGTGGTAAGAAAGTTCACCGTAGACTTTAAAAATTGGTAGTAACTATACTTACCACGGCTTTAGAAAGGGTTAAACGGCATAAAAAATAAACATATGTACGAAACAAAGAGATATAATGTTTTTTTACGGGATTAGCATTTTTATGGAAATCAAAGCGAAGCATCAGCAAAATTGTTCCCGCCAATCAACTTAGTTGCAACACAAACACGATTCAATAAGTTGGGGGGAACTGGAGTGTAACTAGCCTAGTTGGCAAAGGAGCTGGACTCATGTTTGTGAGAACGGGAGCTCGAATTCAGTCAGTCGAAGACTCTCCGTGTTGTAAATGGGGACTGATGCACGTTAAATCTCTCGAGTTACAAAGTCCTCCATGTAACCATAAGAAATTATACCTCTGAGTGTACAGAATTGTAAATTGATTGATCATGGTCAAAATTACGATTTGCGGATAAATGAATGGGTTGTATGTGACGTATGGGTGCGGCAGAAGTTGAATTCTTGGTCATAAATGGAGCAACTAGAAAACAAGAACAATCGCACCTATTGCCTTAATGACCAACGACCGCATCAATAACAACCGACAACAACAATAACAACTGACAACAACAACCAAGATTCAAAACCCAGTTGGAGTTCAACTGTTCGACCTGAAACTGTCAAATTTTGTATTATTTTAAATTCATTGTTTAGTCGTGTACTATATATGATTCCTAAAAAGTCCTTCATGTAATAAATGATTCTTTTCCAGAAAAAATCAAATGTCAAGGTAGTCTTACGCCAGTGTAAGACCGAGTACTCATAACACTATGGGAAATTTAGAAATGCTAGAATTTCAGTGAAAAATTAGCTGGCATTTCAATTCTACATGACAATTTTTTAAAAAAAATATGTATGCAATTTACATGTGATGTTGTCAAGGCTGTACTCTAATCAAAGAATATACATAGGGGAGGAAGTCAAACTTCCATAACCAAAATGTAAATCAAGGTTAGGTGCGGTCCCTGTGTATGAAGGAGAAAACAACATTTAGGGTTACAACATCAGAGGTTCTTGAAACGGGTCCACCCAACCACTACTGCGGTTGGGGGGGGAGAAGAAAAGTTTTCTCCTTTTATTTGTTGATGGTTTGTTTTACATTTTCAATCTATTGATAAAGAATACTGTTTTATTAATTAAGATATTTCTTTGAGAATACATTTATATTATCCATGTTGATTAAATCTGTTAACGCATTTTGACATAGAAAGAATAAAATGTTTTACCCGGGAGACAGCGTACGCAAACATACATGTAATGTTCTTCAACAACCGGTACACAGGTGACGTACCTCCTGACTGACACTTTACTTATTATGCGCATGCGCTGAATTTTAGTATATATGATGTTCTGCTAATTAGGAGTCTGTTTATCTGAACCAAACTGGATGATTCTCCACTTAAGTTACGTATTCGAAGACTTATCCTTCCTAAATTCTTTGCTGTGAAAGGGGACTGATTGGGGCCCGACCAAAATCCCTTACAAAATATAGAGTGCTTTCTAAAATAAAATAAGAAATAGAGTTTTTACATAAATCTAAAAAATTCTCTCAATTTTCTTTCAGAAAAAACTTCGAAATTTCTCAAAAATATGAAAATAGGGCTTTTTCTACGTTGAGTACAGAGCCCACAGTAAATTTTGTCAGCTGGTTTCCGTAAAACCTTCGCTTAACCTTAAATGTAGTTATTTTTTTTCCTCCAATGCAGTGGATCCAGCATAAACTTACATGAAGGGGGGCAATGGTTCTCATCATCTTATCCCGTCTGCAGGGTAATCATATCTTTTACCCCAAACAGTACTTCCAATTGCATAGATCTCTTTAAACATTTTTGACCGACGACAAGATGGTAAAACCGGGATTCGGTCCCGACTTGACTTAAGCCTTATTCAACCCTCTATACTAATTTCATTTGCAAATAATTCATATGGAACTCACTTTATTTCTCAATTTCTTGCCACCTGAGGAACAAGGCTAAAAGCCTATATATCAAGACGGAAAAGAGCAAAAACAATACGAAAGACATCTCAATGTACCATTTTTTTTACTCGAGAAAAATAAAATTTCTGCAACTACCAAGAATAGTTTCACAATTATAGCATAAATACAAAAGTTCTTCCTTCTGTAGAAAACAATATTAGCTACCAAAATGTCAGCTGTCCACAGTGTGTTACCTCAGTGCCCAAATTCCAACCAGTACTTGGACTGTAGAAATTACTCACATATGCCACTTCACCTAAAGAAACTACCATATACAAAACCATAATACCGACAGCCACTTATGCTTCAAGAGCATGGTGACAAGCGGCTAGGGGGAGGACTGTTTCATAATGTTAAAAACTTAGCGTTGGGGAGAGAATGAAAAAATAGGGAAGGAAGGTAAATATGTTGAGGATATTGGGGATTTTTTTCATTCGCCCCTTGGGTCGATTGGCTACTTTTTTTATGATATTATAAACATTCCTTTCTAACGCATACATGCGAGTATTTAAACTACTTGTTATATATTTTATGTTCTTTGTTGTCAGCAATATAGAATGGAAGGTGTGGAACTTAATTGTGCTGAATGTGACAAATTCAATTCAACGAGTTCTAATTTGCACAAATATGGAAATAAAATATCAAAATAATTAATATTACTATGCAGCAGACTTTCAATGTTTTTTTTTATTTTAACTAGAATATATGATGTCACATTTCCTCTTCCCCTTCCAAGCATGAATATAATTTTCATTTCGATTGTTGATAGTACTTTTTAGTTGATTTTTTTTCATCACGTAAAATTATAGTTATGTTTAAGGTTGTTTCTCGAATACTCAGCCGTAGTATGAAATGAGGCTTTTTTGCGAAATACTATTTTAATGATAGCTGTGAGTTTGCAACTGTTACTCGTGAATGCTAGGTCAAGTTTAGCCTATCGAAAACGAGCGCTGTCTTATATGCTTATTTTAAAAATGACGCAAAACGTCTATATAGAGAAAAACCACAATTTTGTGAAAATAAAATTGTTGTGGTTTAATTTTTTAATATTTAAAAACTTACTCCACTGCTGCATTACCTGGAATCATAAAAAATTACCAAAACTGAGAATAAGGCAGTGATTTTGATAATTTTCCTCTAGGTGGAAAAATATCGCCAAATTGGCGATTTTTAAAAAAAAGTTGAATAACTTTTAAAATATTTAAGTTATTTATCTGTTATTCTAAAGCCCAGATGATTCTCCACGGCAAGATAATATTTATCATCGCATTGCTTTAAGTGTAAGGCACTTAACGTATGACTTTTTTATTTTCCTTGGCAACAGAGACTCAAAAAGTAGAGTTAACGACTCAATGGTGAGTTAAATTATTGTTGAAGCTTGGACGCCTGCTGCGGAACACATTTATTCATTGAAATTATTTGCAGTTGAATACACTTGTAAAATATCATTATTACCTTCAGTAAGTTTAAAAAAGAAAAAAGAAAAAAACTCCCTGAATTCAGAAATGAATAAAATGAAAAGAATAATTACATGATATAATTCGAAGATTGTTTCCATTCTCCGTGGAGTGAATTGAGTGGTCTGAAGCATAGAAAAACCTAAGAAATCGATGAGAAGCGTCACCCCACACAATTGAGTCACCGGATTTTGCAGTAGAGACTCCAACACTAAATAATCCAAACGCATGAGTTCTTCGAAAGTTGCAACATTTGGATCAAATTTACCTTTTTAATAAAAGTAAGAAATATATTAACCATAAATTATTAATCACATTGAAAGAAAAATCAGGCATTGAATTAACATATATTAGTAAAAAATAAAAATCTCACTTTTTCTGGAGTCGTTTAATTTTTCTCAATCCTCAAATTAAAAGGAGTAAGTAAGACATTTTTGTAAGACAGTGGGAAGGGGGATTTCGGAAGTTCATAGCGGAAGCGGATTATGTTTCAAGTGTGACAAAAATTAGTTAATTTTTTCACTTGTACTTGTATTGGCTTCGGGCGCAGAACTCCTCTAGCAAAAAGTAGGACCTCTAGCAATACAGATTTTTTTTTAATAACCTAGGTTGAACAGTCGAATCAACTTTTGGGCTTACGACTACTAATATTCAATTCCGTAGCCTTGTAATTTTGAACCCAATCCAGAAGACAAGGGAATTCCTGGATCTAGTAGTGAGAGAAATTTGCCTTCGTGGGGAACTTTTTGATGGAATTAACCAGCATTTGAGGAAAATCACGAAGACCTCTCACGGTAGCCTGGTGGCAAGGGCCCTCTAACCCATGATCCGTCTACCAATGAGAATATTTTTAGATCAGCACTGTGGTCGGCGCGAGCCGAATGCTAAATTCGTATCGACCAGCCATCTCTGGGATTCGAGCCTGGTGCACCTCATTCGAAGGCGTACGCTATATACCCTGAGCCACTACGGCTCTAGCAATACATGTTGTAATAAATTAGGAATAAAAACACAAAAGTAACCATAACTCAAAAAGTTACGCATAGAATTTAATGTAACTGGCATACATTATAGTGCGCATAATAATGTATAAAATAGCGTAGAAAGAATTAACCAATCGGTTAAGGTGTTACAGAAATTAGCATATGTGTGAAATAAATAAATCAGATGTGTCTGTTTGAAATGGAACTTTTAGCATGGAGTACGATCACCTAAAGCAGCAATACAGAGGTGTACGAGAAATCAAGCAGCGCCTAGTATCGCTCTGAAGGCTAAACATGGTATGATCTGTGAGGAGATCAGTTCTCCAATAGTCAGCCGTCCAGTGAACTGCTGACTAGTGATTCAGGTTGCAGCGCCAACCTCAAACATTCTCTTCCATGGAGATTGGCACGCAAATGGCTGGTCGAATAGTGGACAAACCACGTTCCCGAAACCTTTTACAACCTGTAGACGTCGGTATCAATGTCCAGGTAGCTGCACTAAGAGAGGATTTAACTCGGAGTTGAGTTGATTTGGAGTTGCGGTTCTATTCCCTCGTGCGCGTAACGATAAATATCGGTCATCGCCCTTTGCCGTACAACTTAGCCGTCCTTGGCTGAACATTCTGGACGCCGAACCTGTGGTTAGAAATTGTTGCCAAAATCTGTGAGTCACAGAAGGACTCACATTTAGCCATCAGACCATTTCCATCCGACTTTGTCCTGCCTCTAGTGCTCTAATAGATCTCCATCTAATAGATCTGCCTCTAGTGCTCTAATAGATCTCCATCACAGTTCTTCGGATAAATGATCCCTGGAGATCATTGTTACAAATTGACTATCTCAAATTTTCAATTTCAGAAGCACGGCAGTGCTGACGTGAAATATCCTCAGTGGTAGACGGACCAAGGGTTAGAGTACCCTTGCCGTCTAGCTAACCGTGGGAGGTTCGCGCGGTCTTCCTCTCCATGTAGCGCTAATGCGGGTTAGTTCCATCAAAAAGTCCTCCACGTAGGCAAATTTCTCCCAATACTTGATCCAGAAGTTCCCTTGCCTTCTGGATTGGGTTCAAAATTACAAGGCTAAGGAGTTGAACTTTAGTAGTCGTAAACTCAAATATTGGGTCGGCTGTTCAACGACGGTTATAAAATTATAAAATAAAATCTAAATTTTTTAAAGTAATCTCTCAAAGCACTTATAGGTTTTGCAAACTATTCAGAAAAAATATCAAAAAGTGTTAACTTACCCACTTTATGAATTAGTATTATAGAATTGTCGCTGATGGCTCTGAAGGGAAAGACTGAGAGGTGATTCAGAGACTGGGCAAGCAGAGTACAGCTCGGTAGAAAGTCTTGAAAAATTTCCGGATGTGAGCGTTTCGTGTGGTAGTATACCTTCAGTCTCCTGAGTGCCCTCTCACAGATGAATTTCCCACCTCTCAAGAACCTCATCAAGAAATCAACATTCACATACAGCTTTATGGATTCGTCTTCTGAAAGAAGCAAGAGCAGATTAAGTACTAGTAGCTCTTTATTTACGTCACATTAGAGCTGCACAATGGACTATGGGTGATGGCGGTGGTCGGTGAAACATTCCTGGGGATGATGCGAAGACATGCCATCAAAATTTTGATCCTCTGCTGAAGACGTGGACAGACTAACTGCACTCGAAGAGAAAAGTTTAACGAGGCTCGATAACGCACACCCTCGCTCCTTTCACAGGCTGATCAAAGTGGTCACCCATCCGCTCACTAACCACTATCAGTGATGTTGCTATCTATGACCTGTTCGGAATCGTGTCTTACGTTCAGGTACAAAGTTGATTAGGACATGCGTTTCAATGGAATATTTTATGTGCTTTTAAAATGTATTGGATAGTTTTTATTGGCATCTTGACTACTTGTTAAATAGCTCAAATATTCATAAAAATAAAAAAGAGACCTTTTTCATGTGTGTGTGTGCCTCTCTTATAACTTATTGTTGTGTTCGGCCATTAAGGCAGAGAGGGTACTATTGTTGTTTATGACCCGACAGGTTTAACGTCTGTCAGTCACCACTTACTACACGAAGAGTCTACGACCCACCTAATCTTTTATAACTTCAAAAAAGTCTATGCTGGCACCCTAAAATGACGGCAGGTTAAAGGGAGGATTATAGCTCCCGATCCGAAAAATATTTTTCTTTTCGGGAGAGACTCCTAAAAATTTTTTTTTACACATTGATTTAGCATTACCCATTGTTAAATTAAACTGTTACGTTTTATCAAATAATTTTAAGACTAAGAGGCTTCACTAAAAAAACTTAGTGGTTGCTTTGCATTCGTCAGTGATTTGGTATTAAAGGCTGATGAAAAATAATTTTGTTTTTAAGATATATAATTGTTATAATTTCATATTAGCACATTTTATTAATGCGTTAATTGTAACGAATTGAAAGTAAGCTTTCAAAAATAATCAACTGTTCTTGAAAAAAAAAATTTCAACTTAGGAATTCAGAATGCTTTGCGTAATAAGAAGTAATAAACGAGATGTCATTTTACTTGTTAACTTTCTATAACGATAACGTGATGAACTGTTTTTATTTCTCTTCAATCTTTAGATTTTAAAAAATTTTCGATTTAAATATTAAAATTTATATCCCGCAAAATCTAATCCCTTTCTTGTTTTTTTACAGTTTCTTTCTTTTTTTTGTTGTTACTTTTGAAATTAAGTCCTGTACGGAATTATGAAACGAAAATTTCAAAAAAGAAATATTTTTAGACCACAATGGATTTTATAATTATTATTTAGAGAAAAAATCTCAAAAAAGCACTTAAAAATGGGATAAAATTAGAGCAAATTGAAATTTCGAAAAATAAAGAAAAAGCAACACTTGTTAAGTGTATAATTTTAAATGGTCTTACCAACACATTAAATTCACATCAACACAACTCAGCGCTTGCATTTCAGTGCTTAGTTGATTGACTAACATGTTTTTTTTTACCACAAGTCAAAGAGTTATTAATTTTTGAACATTGAAATCTTTTATTTTTTTAATAATCATATCGTAATTTTTTTTTAATCATCATAATCTCTGCGTATTTTTCAAAACAACTTTGTATTTTCAAAGTTCCAAGGTCGTAGATTTTGAGCAGCAAAAGAAAATGAAAGACAAATTAAATAAAAAAAGAAAAAAAACGCGTAAAAGGCATTTAATATTGAAATAACTTTCGAGCAAATAGAAATTTTGAAAAAAAAATCGGTGTTTTTTCATAATTAAATATGACTCTTTCAGAATAGCATTTTAACTCTGTCTCAACAGTTTAACTCTGTATTTGAGGCCTAAAGAACAACCCGCGTGTAGTTTAACAGTTATATTTCCGAAACTAATTATTGAATGTTACTTCTTTTTATTCCATCGTAATTCTTATATATTTTTCTACACACTTTAGTAATTTCAAGTTTCCAAATTTTATTCAGTGACAAAATCAAAATTTAACTTTAGTTTATTTATTTTATGTTAAGTTGAATGTACAAAACAGCAAGCCCGTAAAGAACTGATGGTAAAAGCAGGGTTTTCCTAACTGGCTTCGGTCAGTAAGCGGACCACTTTGATAAGCTCGCGTTCAGACCAAGGTTGCGCTGTATCATTCTTGTTAGATTGTTCTACCGTAAAGTGCTCGATTTATCGCGGAGGTCGTCGTAATACCAAAGCGAAGGAGCCATCTCCTTTACAAATGATCGAAATTGTGATGGCATGTCTTCAGATCTTCCTCAGTGGTGTTTCCCAGACCGTCACCTATAGCTCATTGTATAGCTCTAGTGCAGGGATGGCGAACCAATGGCACGCGTGCCATTTATGGCACGAGACACAATATTTTAGGCACGCCACTGATCACAATTGTTATTACACTATGAATAGTTATTACACAAATGTTATTACTCTATGAAGCATATGTGACAATTAAATTAAAATTCACAAAAACAAAATAATAAACAATTATTAATAAAAAAATTAACGATTAATGCTAAAAAAAGCAATAACCATAAGAAACAAGCTAATAATAGATAACTAGCAAAAAAAATTAACTAAAAACTAAACTCAGTGGCGCGACAGATAGAGGGCCAAGGCCTACTGTGCCCATCTCAGTTTTCTGGGGTGCAAGAGCAGATGTTCCGGTCAGGTGGTCAGCCGAACGCGGAACCCTCAGTGTTTAGTTCCCAAGCATGCTTGGTACTCATTTATCTATCCACTGAAAGGATGAAAGGCTGAGTCAACCTTGCCCGGCCCAAGAATCGAACCAGGGACCTGTGGCACGACAGCGCTACCGCTCAGCCACCGAGCGTCAAAAAAAATTGACAGTCCTGCTCAAACTAGCATCTTACAACCTAATATAAGTTATTTGTCATCTAATCTGCAACAACAGAAGTCACACTGATGTTACTTTAAGTTGTTTTAAGACATGACAAAATGTTTTTTTTTTCAATGTAAGTAAAGAGTTTCGAGTTGATAGTATTTAGTATTACTATTTTCCCAATAATCACGAAGTCAAAATTATTTGACGGCACGTCTATGATCTCATTAAACAATTTTTTAGAAAAAATGGCACGTTGGCGTATTAAGGTTCGCCACCCCTGCTCTAGTGCAACGTAAATAAAACACTTACCTACTTCAAAACAATGTCTACGGCCCTTACGATTTATAACATAGACAGAGTGATGTCCAGTGATGTTTACAAACTTATATCTCTATTTAATCAACAACAACAAAATTCCCTGCTTTTAGTATTTAATTATTTTTTATTCGTTATATCTGGTAAGCTCAATTATAAAAATGGATGGCGGGTTAGGACTACGTCTACAAATTAGTATTCCTCTAGTTATCTGAATCCACACGTTTGTTTTGATTGTAACTATGTTTTTGAATAATATTTCTTTTAAATTAAATAGTTTCAAAACAACAGTAATTGAAATAACAAAATACTAAAAAGCAAAATTTATGGGGAAAAGGAACATATTCGTTTAAGGCAAAATGTTCCGAACACTGGCGCTATCACCATTCTCATCAGTGAGCGGGTGGGTGACCACTTGGATCAGCCTGCGTAGGGACCGAGGGTGTGCGGTATTGGTCCTCGTTAAACTGTGCTACCGTAAAGTGCTCGACTTCGCGCGCAGGTCGTCGGGCTACCGAAGCGGGGGTGCCATCCCCTCCGCAGAGGATCAAAATTGTGATGGCATGTCTTCGGATCATCCTCAGGGATGTTTCCCAGACCGTCGCCAATAGCCCATTGTGCAGCTCTAGTGCGACGTAAATTAACAACAACAACAACAACAATCACCATTCTCAGAGATTGGTGAAGATTTGTAGAGAAGCATTAATAAAGTTTTCAATATTTAAGAAGTATTAGAGATTTTTAGAAGGCCGTTAACAAACTATAAATAAAATTTGTAAGTTGTTTGGTTTGGTATTAAAAAATTAAATTTCTAAATCAGCATATAAGATATTAAAGCAATTATATTTCCATTTTATATTATTTCATAAAATATTTATTTTCTCAATTATTACAGATATTCATTGCATGTATGAGATATCGTGTAAAAATTAGTTAGAAACATCAAGTTAGATTTTATTTTATAACCGGCGTTGAACAGCCTACCCAATTACATTTTTCAACTATCAGTTACGTAACCTTACAATAATACCCATAAGAGAAGGGAGCTTCTGGATCAAGTATTAAGAGAAAATAGCATTACCAATTACATTTTTCAACTATCAGTTACTTAGCGTTACAATAATACCCATAAGAGAGGGGAGCTTCTGGATCAAGTATTAAGAGAAAATAGCATTACCAATTACATTTTTCAACTATCAGTTACGTAACCTTACAATAATACCCATAAGAGAAGGGAGCTTCTGGATCAAGTATTAAGAGAAAATAGCCTTCGAATGAAAGTAACCTTTATTTCCATTACATGGGGAGGAAAACCACAAAGCCTACCGAAAGCAAGGTGAATCAAACCCATGATCCGTCTTCCCTTCAGGATATTTTACGTCAGCACAGTGGTCGGTGCGATCGAAGAACAGAATACGCATCAACCAACCACCCGTGAGAATCGAACCTGGGTTATTTGATTGGAGGCAAGGGCTCAATCCAGTGAGTTAATTTGGCTCAAAGTTATAATGTTTGTTCGTAAAAAAATTTCTTTTTAACGCTATTCTTTTAAACAATTCTTTTTACCGTTCGTAAAAAAAATTTTTTTTTCGAATAGAGCCTTAAAATACGCACTATTGTTGTATAATAAAAAGGAATACCGCAAATGATTTGTATAAATTTCTGGAGGATATCGTGTCTCTTCTCCTTAGAATCAGAACGACGGTTTCGAGCTGCATTCATGACCTCCTCATCCAAATCAACATCTGAGAATGTCCAGGGCAATCCTCTCTTCATTCCTTCTGCCATCTGAAAAAAAAAATATTTTGATTGCTTTTCGGTGATAAAAACATCATCAAAATCGTTTTCTTATGACTTTGCAAAGCTAGACATAGTAAGTCATGTTTTTAGTTAGTTCAATCAAATGACGTAGGAGACGAAAATTCACAGCATTTTTTTTTTAATAAATCAATTTGAAATAGTTTGTAACATATTAACTGCACTGCACGAAATTTTTCAGAAAAATGGTTAACTAACAATTATTTTAATTGTTATTTTACCATATTCAAACAAAACCATAAAGATGTTATGGCCTTTAACTCTGAAAAAATGGTTTTTTAACTGCTTTTACCTAATACGGTTAAACAACCGGAATTTTATCGCATTGACAAAGTCTACCTAATGAATCCACGTAGTTCCTTACAAATGGGTACATATTACTGGCGAGAGGGCTAATCTGTCAATCCATTAGAGCGGGAGTTCAAGTCTTAGCTTTGACACCTCAATGTTTCCTCCATTCCCCTCAACACATGAATAGTTTTCAGTGTTCTGCACTCCCCAATTTCTGACCATGGGTAGTTAGAATACGATGCTCTAATTCACGCATAGATGGCGGCACCATAAAACTGCTAAACTATTTCCAACGTCCATTCGAGTTTCTTTATTTACGGTTTTGAGACCATATTAATTGTAAATTAATAGAAAAATTTTACAATTTTTAATCCTTAAGATTATCTGTAGCTTATTTCATGCATGCTTTTCTTCAATGGGCCTGATGTGTATGTGCTTTGCATGAATAAACTTAAACTGAAAATATGATTAAGTGAGCTTCTTGTTAAGTCATGTAAAAATAAAAAGAATTTGAAAATTTAAATTGTTCCTTGTTAATTTAATTTGATGAATACATCAATTCATATCTCCAAAGTTTCAAATAATGTTTTCTTCTATGCAATAAAGAGCAGGGCTTTTAAAGCGAAATATTCTGAAATTTTATAATAAAATATTTTGTTTAGAGACTGATTTTATTGAATAAATACTTTGCGAAAGGTCCATGTAAGACATTATTTCCCTTTCGACCCAAATGGGATATGTTTACGTCCCAAATATTAAGCTTCTTTCTATGGACCAAATCCCAATTATGCATGGGTGTTTATGTTTTGAGGGTTCTTTAGGTATTGGGGAATAAAAATATAACTTAAGGAACTTGGCAACACTCTCATATTCATAAAGGTTGATTTCTGTTTGCGACAACGTCAGTAAATCTCGTTTCAATTTACTTATTCTCTGTATTTTGAGGTAAGTACAATTATATTTTTGCCATATTTTGTGTTTAACAGATATGTTTATTCTTATTAAATAATAATTGTACCTATTTAATATACGATTTAGAAATTTTGGCACATATCGTTTGGTGGGACACATTGTCCCAATTGTTTTTACCATTGGGACAATATTTCCCAATCGTACTTCCCAGTGCGAAAATAGTAGTAAAAATATAATAAAGCAAAATTTTAGTTTTTGTTTTGATTATTTTATAACAACAACTTCTGGTTTCCAAAACTCATGGTAAGAGTGGAAACCTGTAAATTCATATGCTTATTTTAATCTGTCAGCATTAACATAAATTGCTTCTCATATTTAAATTTTAATGCTACTAAAGGGGTGAAGGGCCCGCCAACAGATCCATACTTTTCCTAAAATGACCCCGAAAAGCATGATTTTATTTCAATTCAAGTTTTGTTTTTTAATTACAATTTAGTCAAAAGAACAAATCTGTATTTTGCAAAAACAACCCTTATAGTTAATAAAAATGCCTTCTCAATATTCGCTTCGTATTAGTTACAAAATCAATGAAATTCTGAATGTTTTAAACATGCGCAATTCCTTTTTTTTTATGCATTAAATCAGTGGGTGTATATTATTTATTGATTTTCTTTTTATATATCTTTTATTTTTTAAAAATATGGCTTAATAAATCAAAATAAATTATGGTTTTTCTCTCTCAAGAACACCAGCTGATAAAATCTGTTTTCCATTCTTATTTATTATTCAATCATCATTTATAATTAATGATTTAGAAACTGATAGGGAGCTTCAGTTTAAGGAGAAGCAATGTTTTTATTACTTCCTTTAAATTTACTATGAATTTCTATAGGATTGTGTCCAGCATAAAAGAGTGCTAACCGGTAACGAATACCCGTCAAAACTACCCGGGTCCGGGTACTGTGTGTTGAAATATGTTAGCTGGGACGGGGTAATGAAAATCTGGACATAAACCGGGTAATTGTCGTGTATCCGGTACATTACTAAATGAATGCCTTTGTCTCTAACTAACCGGCAATATGCAGATATTTCCTTTTCGAGTGCCTGGCCTGACCCCTTTTTGCATTTTATAAAATTATGAATTTTGCAAATTATACATTTATGTAAAAAGAACCTTAAGACATTTTAAGATTTTTTTTTTTAAATATAAAATTGTCGAAACATTTATCTATCAATTATTGTAAATAATGCATTTCCTTTATTTTAAAATTTTTATAATGACTTACCTTAAAAATGCATGTTTATCCCTCTTCAGTCAATTCAAAACTTAAGTAGTAAATATTTTTAATTATGCAACGATAAACTCTAAAAGTTAACATTTTTTTAAAAAAATAAGAAATTCTTATTTACTTATTTTAGAAGGAATATATTTTGAAATAAGGTAAAAAAAACGTGTCATTTGAATGCAGCAAACACCTACATTTTTATAATTGCCGCATAATAAATGTGAAGTACGTATAAAATTTTATCATATTTGAGTTGCTATGTTCTTTTTGAGTTATCTTTATTGGTTGTCGATAAAAACTTCTTTTCCTCTATTAATGAATTGACTGTATCATTTTTTCTTATCAGCATATATCTTTTTATTTCAATGTAATTTTCTATCAATATATTGAAATATACTTTTTAGAGTTTATTCACTTCCCTTCGTTATTTATTCTTGAATAAATTGGGCAGTCAATTTCAGACAAGCAACTTTCTATGTCAAGATATATTTGCAATGTTATCATGTTCGAAATCGATCCTTCAACTATAAGAACATTCGACGAAAAAACGAATAAAGTTTTCAGCGAAGATTGTGAAAGCACCCTTTATTCCAAATGAATGCATGCATAACACGCATGGCGGTGAAATATATAAACTTTTATGTTACAAGAGGGATAAAATTTTTGTTACGTTTATACAAGCACTTTATCTTACCTGTTTCCGGGAAAGATTAGGGATATTCTGGAATAGATCCGGGAAAGAGGATAGATTAAGAGATACATCAGTGTTCGGAATACCGGTTAAATGCGTACTGGGCAGTGGCATTTGACCTTTAAAAAAAACATTGATGTTGAGCATACCAGGAAAATGTATACCGGACAGTATCACTTAACTAAACCTAATAAATATTTCGGACATTGACCAAAGCGACTATGTGATTGTCAGCATTCACCGGAAGCAACAACCACGAATTTCGGTTATTCACAGTAACACACTCATACACACCCACACCCACACACAAACACATACATATATTATATTATATTATATTATATTATATTATATTATATTATATTATATTATATTATATTATATTATATTATATTATATTATATTATATTATATTATATTATATTATATTATATTATATTATATTATATTATATTATATTATATTATATTATATTATATTATATTATATTATATTATATTATATTATATTATATTATATTATATTATATTATATTATATTATATTATATTATATTATATTATATTATATTATATTATATTATATTATATTATATTATATTATATTATATTATATTATATTATATTATATTATATTATATTATATTATATTATATTATATTATATTATATTATATTATATTATATTATATTATATTATATTATATTATATTATATTATATTATATTATATTATATTATATTATATTATATTATATTATATTATATTATATTATATTATATTATATTATATTATATTATATTATATTATATTATATTATATTATATTATATTATATTATATTATATTATATTATATTATATTATATTATATTATATTATATTATATTATATTATATTATATTATATTATATTATATTATATTATATTATATTATATTATATTATATTATATTATATTATATTATATTATATTATATTATATTATATTATATTATATTATATTATATTATATTATATTATATTATATTATATTATATTATATTATATTATATTATATTATATTATATTATATTATATTATATTATATTATATTATATTATATTATATTATATTATATTATATTATATTATATTATATTATATTATATTATATTATATTATATTATATTATATTATATTATATTATATTATATTATATTATATTATATTATATTATATTATATTATATTATATTATATTATATTATATTATATTATATTATATTATATTATATTATATTATATTATATTATATTATATTATATTATATTATATTATATTATATTATATTATATTATATTATATTATATTATATTATATTATATTATATTATATTATATTATATTATATTATATTATATTATATTATATTATATTATATTATATTATATTATATTATATTATATTATATTATATTATATTATATTATATTATATTATATTATATTATATTATATTATATTATATTATATTATATTATATTATATTATATTATATTATATTATATTATATTATATTATATTATATTATATTATATTATATTATATTATATTATATTATATTATATTATATTATATTATATTATATTATATTATATTATATTATATTATATTATATTATATTATATTATATTATATTATATTATATTATATTATATTATATTATATTATATTATATTATATTATATTATNTTCAGCCAAAATTTGGGAGCCACGTAAGAGAATTATATATATTAGATCAGAAACACATCATTAAAAGGCAGAATGCTTTGGTGTTTTCAAAACAAAACAAACGTTGCCACCGGCGGAAAAGAAATACAGCCAAAATTTGGGAGCCACGTAAGAGAATTATATATAATAGATTATATTATATCATAGAGTTAGTTGACCGACATACTGTCATCACAACCACTACCAGTTCTTGAAAAATTTTGAATGAAACTCTTGATTGTTAGCACATTTGGACCGGTTGCCTTCAGTTTGAACTGGATGATTAACATCTTTTGAGCCACAATCGGGCTGTTATGGTCGACAACAACTAGTTGCGTACACTTGTGCATACTTATTCCCATCATGCTCTGCAATCAACCACGAAGTCTAAACTTCATCATCACACAAACCGTTTAGAGGTTATGATGGTTCTATTTCATATCTCTATATGATATAAAATCATAATGGTCTTTCCATTGTTGTCGGACCATTTTTATTGGCCGAAAAATCACGTGGTAAGATCTAGTTTTCCCACATTAATTTTCATATTGGTTTGGTTGTCATCAGCATAAAATTAACAATAGTTGTCAAGGTATTGTTTTCCTTTAAATATTTTCGTATCATCAATTTAAACTTAGTTTCCAGTGCTGCTATTATTAGCGAAAATATTAAATTATGGTTGCGAATTCATCAAATTTGTTTGAACAATATAATGTTATAAGAGTATAAATGTTATTTTAAAAATGATTACTTCAAAAAATCTCTTCTGTTCACCAAGAGATCTAAATGTTTATAATACTAATAAATAGTAATATTTGGAGGTGGGAAGTAGAGGCACAAGAGTAAGCAAACAGAATTAATTTAAGTGTTATGTGTTAAGTGATTAAATATGTTAAGTGAATAATTTTAACTTTAGTAGAAAAACTGTTTTCTGCCAAGAAAAAACAATTATTGTGAAGCAATCATCGGGGTTGGTGAAAAGTAGGGAATTCATATACTAGGGCCCCCTAGTATATGAATAATTGTCTATTTGTCAGCCCAAATTTTAATGTTTAATGCTTTTATGTGAGAGTATCGCAAGAGGTGTCTGCAGAAAAAATAATCTATACATAAAGTGCAATCAAAATTAAAATCGGCATCCCCCTGCCTCACTTCGCAGGAGCTAAGAGGGATAACTCGTCCAATCATATAAAAATAGAATAAAAATTAATCATAATACAGGCGAAAAAGAACTAAGCGTGCAATATATACATTATTTACAGTAAAAATTTTGATAGAATGCCATCGGAAAGGAGAATGTTAGTCGAAGGGCTCTTTGCGATGCTATCTATCATTAGTTCGAATTTAAAAATATCAATGAAGCTAGCTGTGTCGGCATTGCAGTGCTATGCTGTAAAATCTTGCTTTTCTTTCTTCAAGATAATGGGCATTATTTTAAGGTGTTTTTTTGCAAATTGTCATTTCTTATGAGCTAGGGTGCTGCGCTGTGTCGCAAGCAACGAATCCATATGCTAGTAGTATGGGTTGAATACACACTAGATAAGTGAGTCTTTCTTTCGAGAGCGATGAATATGAATAGTGGTTAATCAGATGATTAAGAGCGAAATAAGCAGTGTATGCGTTTTAGATGGCATTGATAAGGTGTTCTGGCTAGATTTTTATTAAAGCTGATGACTATATATTTAGCTAAATATTTATAATATTGGCACCTTAAAAAAAATTAGAACCAAAATCATTCAATTCGGAATATAATTCGCGAAAATTCTAATTTTACTACCATAGCAAGACAGAGAGTTTTGTTTTAAGTAAAGAGGACTACTTCTCAAATATGGGCAGATGCATTATTATACGTTTAGATCAGTCATTTGGTTAAAAAGTCGTGGTGGCTCAGGGTATAGAGCAGGGGTTTCCAACTTACATGAGGCCGGGAACCAGAATTAAAAACACGAAATCAAATGGCGGGCCGCAACTTTATCGAAATTTTTTGTAGGCCTTTTTAATGATTGAAGGGACATTAAATATTACTGTCAGATTTTTACAAAACAAAAAGTTATACAAATCAAAATAAGATGTAGATTTTTAAAAATATTTAATTGTTATTAATAATATTTTAAAAAATATTAAATAAATAATAAAAATTCGGGCTACAATAACTTTAATGTGCACCTATGTATTAAGCAATTAATGTAATAAGATATCTAATTATTAAGATATAAAATTTTAAAAAGTTTGGTATTAAAACTTACATAGTAGTACTCAAAATATTAAATGAGAAAATTGAGGTTTGTCTGCTGCAACCACCAGAGAATAGATATTTACATTTCAAGCGTAAAATTTACAAATGTGTGTGTAAATATTTTCGTCCAAAATGAGTGGTTTCAAAAAGTTAAATCGGAGAATTTCTTCGAGAAAAATTCTGATAAGCACATGCTAAATTATATTCACAAAATACAAAAAACTGAAATGAAAAAGAGCAACATACATGATTATTTTTGTATTTGAGTAAATATTTTCTTGGATGCAAAACCTGAGAAATAAATTTCTTTGCCCCTTTGGTATGTTAATTTTCACAGAAACGAAGAAATTAGGTTTTTAAATACGAGAAAAGTATTTTAAACCTATATAGACTTTTTACGAAAATTGTCCGCAAAAAAATGACAACTAATATATTTTAGTTCGCGGGCCACAAAAAAAAAGGCTTCGCTGTCCGGATGCGACTCTCGGGCAGCCAGTTGGAAACCCCTGGTATAGAGCGTTCGCCTTCCAATGAGATGAACCGGGTTCGAATCAGAGCAATGGCTGGT